CTGTAGGTATGTAGGGTGTGGCTGGAGGAAATGGGTCGTTGGGGCATGCCTATGGGCTCTCTGGTAGGCAGAGCTCTCTCTGCTTCCTAGTGCTATGTGCTGGGATGTTTTCCTCTGACCCACTCTGGCCGTGACATTCTGTCTCATCTTGAGTCCAGAGCAGTGGAGTTGGCCATCTATGAACTGAGACCAAATAAACTTTCCTCCTCTAAAATTGTTCTTATCAGGTGTTTTTTGTACAACAGTGAGAAAGCTCTAGTTTCATTTCTAGTAGGGAGGAAGAACTTGCCTTTAGAAAAGATGATTTCTCTCATCCACCTGATACCAACTTAATCTAACCGATTGAGATAATACAGAACCCAATGAGTTCAGGAACCAAGCTTTATTAGTTTAAGGCTTTTACCTTCTAGAAAACCAGTTCAGACCACAGAAAGACCCTAACCCAAAGTGTAATGGATAATAAATTAATAATAAATGTCATAAATTCACCATAACCTTATAGTGGTGAGATAATCTTTAACATTAGTTGTTCTGTTTGTCCTTTATATTTTGAACTTGACAGTGCTATGGAATTATGGTGGAGATTACATCTATTTTGAGATAACACTGAAGTTACTACTTTAGAACTTATTCTTTTTTACTCTTTATTTATAACTGTAAATGCCCATGTTAAAGAAGTTTTTCAACTCAATAACCTAATCTTCCAACTTACGAAATTGGAAAAAAAAAAAAAAGAGCAAACTAAACCAAACTAAATAGAAGGAAGGAAATGTTAGACTGGAAGTAAATGAAGTATAGAAAAGCAGAAAAATGGGCTGGGGATGTGGCCCAAGTGGTAGCGCGCCTGTCTAGTATGCGCGCGGTTCGATCCTCAGCACCACATACAAAGATGTTGTGTCTGCCGAAAACTAAGAAATAAAATGTTAAAATTCTCTCTCTCTCTCTTCACTCTCTCTTAAAAAAAAAAAAAAAAAAAAGCAGAAAAATCAAAACCAACTTCTAGTTCTTAAAAATGTCAATGAAATCAATAAAAATCTTTGGCTAGCCTGACCACAAATAATACCCAAATTACTAAAATCAGGAATTAAAGAAGACCATGACTACTGACTTTATAGAAATATAAAGGACTACAACAATACCATAATAACTGTACCTCAACAAGTTAAATAACCTGGATGGAATGGAACAATTCCTAAAAAAGATATACACTACCAAAACCAACACAAGAAATTGTAACTCTAAACAAGGGTTAAGGGTTGAAGCTCAGTGGTACAGCATGTGCTTAGCATGCACAAGATCTCCAGTTCAATCAGAAAGGAAGAAAATCTAAGAACAACAATATGAAAGAAAGCAATAAATTAAAAAAAAACTTCCAAAACAAAACAAATTCCCACAGACCTAGGTGGTTTCACCAGTAAATTCTACCAAACTTTTAACTAATCATACTTTAAAAAACCTTTTAAAAATAGGACATTTCCATCTCATCCTGTGAGACTTTATGCCAAATTCAAAGAAATCACAAGAAAAATACTATTAATTATATCTACAGCAGGTAGAATCGTGTCCTTCCCTGCAAAGGATACATTCAAGCCCTAATCACTAGTACGTATGGACATGTCCTTATTCAGAAATAAGGTCTTCGCAGATGTAATCAAGTTAAGATATTAGATTAGGGAAAAGAAACTCAGAGACAGGGAAGATGCCTTGTAAAGATGAAGGAAGGATTAGAGAGTCTACTAGTCAAGGAAAGCCATGGTTGTTGGCTACCACCAGAAACTAGGAAGAAGCAAGAATGATTCTTCTCCTAGAGCCTTAGGAGGGAGCAAAATCCTGCCAGCAACTTGATTTTTCTCCTTTTAGTCTCTAGATCTGAGAAAACAAACTTTTGTTTTAAGCCACTCAGTGTGTGGTAATTTGTTATGGTAGACCTAGCAAACCAACACAATCTCCCTTATGAATATAGTTGCAAAAATTTTCACCCAGATACTGGCAAACTGAATCTTGCAAAATATAAAAAGGATTAAGCACCTTGACTAAGTGGGAATTTTCCCCTGAAATACAAGTTTGGTTCAATCTAAGAAAATCAAGCAATGATATTATCATATTGACAGAATAAAGAACAGAAAACACATGAACATCTTGACAGACACACAAAAAAATATTTGACAAAACACTCTTCCATTGACAAAAGTTATTTACAAATTAGGAATAGAAAGAAACTTTCTTTACCCGATAAAAAGCTATGTATGAAAAATCCAGAGCTAACATCATATTTAGTGTTTCAACAGTAAATTGAAGTTCAACATTAAGTTTTTACCCTTGGCCAGTTGCAGTGGCACATACCTGTAATCCCAGCAGTTTGGGAGGCTGAGGCAGGAACATTCCAAGTTCAAAGCCACTCTCAACAATTTATCGAGGCCCTAAGCAATTTAGTAAGACCTTGTTTGAAAATAAAAAATTCAAAAAGGGCTGAGGATGTGACTAAGTGGAAAGCACTTCTGCATTCAATCCCTAGTACTAAAAAGGACAAAGATGTTTACCCACTTAGCTCAGGACCAACACAAGGATTTTAGCTCTTGACACTTCCATTCAAAACTATAGTAGAGGTTCTGATCAGGTCAATTAAGCAAGGAAAAAAATGAAAAGTATTCCAATTGCAAAGATATTTAAAAATATATATATAGTTGGTACACTAAAAACTACAAATAGCTAAACATCACTGTTTTTTAAGAGGAAAAGCAACTCATGTTCATCCTATGTTGGAGGATTTAATATTATTTATATGACAATATTACCCAAACTGATCTAAAGATTGAATAACCTACTAAAATCCTAGCTGGCATTTTTTTAAAAACTGACAAGTTGATTCTAGAATGCAAGTGACCTAGAGAATCAAAACAATCTTGAAAGAGAACAGTCTTTGAGGACTCCTCCCGATTTCAAAACTTAATACAAAGCTATAATAATCAAGACAGTATGCTACTGGTGTAAGTAAAAACATAAAGATCAATGGAATAGATCTGAGAATACAGAAATAAGCCTAAGCTTATATTTATGGTCAACTGATTTTCAATCAGTACTCCAAGACAATTAAATGAGGAATGAACAGTCTTTTCAATAAGTGAGGCTGGAATATTAGACATCCACGTGGAAAAGAATTAAGTTGTGTCTCTTACCTCACACCATATACACAAGTCAAAAATGGATCAAAACTCTAAATAAAAGGGCTAAGGGTTGGAGTGGCTCAGTGCTAGAACGCTTGTCTAGCACTTGTGAGACCCTGGGTTCAATCCTCAGAACCATATAAAAAATAAATGAATAAAATAAAGCTATGAAAAAGTTACCTTATTAAAAAAAAAGACAACCAGACAAACAAGTGAAATATCTGCAAATCATACGTGTAAGACTGGACTTGAATCCAGAACAAAGAAAAAGAACTCTTTATAATTCAAAAAGAAAAGACAGCCAGGCTCAGTGGCACACACTTGTAATCCCAGCCGCTCAGGAGGCTGAGGCAAGAGGATCACAAATTCAAATCAAGCCTCAGAAGTGAGGCACTAAGCAACTGAGATCCTTTCTCTAAATAAAATACAAAATAGGGCTGGGGATGTGGCTTAGAGATTGAGTGGCCGAGTTCAATCCCTGCCACCCACCTCCAAAAAAAAAAATAATCCAATTTTAAAATGTTCAAAGAATTTGAATACATTTTCATAAGCTATATAAATGACCAATAAGCATATGAAAAGATATTTCATTAGAAGTCATTATAGAAATGCAAATCAAAACTACAATGAGATACTATGTCACCTACTATATAAACTTTAATTTAAAAAAAAGGCAGACAATAACAAGTATTGGTGAGGAAATGTGGAAGAATAGAAACCTTATAAATTGCTGATGGGAATGAAAATGGTGAAGTTGTTTTGGAAAAAAAAGAGTTAAATATACAACTACCATATGACCCAGAAACTTAGCTACCAAGAGAATCAAAAACGTGTCCACTCACCAAGCTGTACATGAACAATCATAGCAATATTCAAATTGCCAAAAAAGCATAAACATTCTAATGCCCATAATTTGATAAACTGAAATTGGCTGTGAACTCTACAAACTCTAATAAGGTCTGTACTCCTAGCATGGTGGCTATATATTCTGCTTGGTTATATAACTGTTCCAATTTTATAATCACTATTCTGTACACTTATGTACTAAACACACATAAAAGACAGTGTTCCAGCTTTACAAAAATTAGTCTCCAATGGTCCTGACTATAATATATTCTTCCATGTTGATTTTATTGGAATACTTTTGTTTTAATTCTGTTTTAGGGAAGTTCCATGAGTCTGCCGCTATGCCACCACCCTCTTAGATTAATACTGATCCTAACTCCAGTCCAAATCAGAGGACAAGACTTACTCATTCTGTGTCTTTAAAAATATGAGAATGTCTATTTTATTCCAAGGACCTTTGCTAGCCACCTTCTCCCAAATTTCTCCCATTCCCAAAATAACAATTGTCTTCTTCAAACAAAATATACTGGATCCTTTATCTGCATCCATTAACATGGTTTCAAGCCCAGAAGAGGTTCCTTTCTGAGCATTTTCAAGCATAGTGCCCAAATTGGAATATATTCTATGTATAAGCAAACTAGAGTAGGACTTTCATTAACCATATCTTCCTCCATTTTGTTGGCTTCTACCACTTTAGAGATTAGATATTGCAAAGAATATGGGCTCAAAGCCAAAAGGACCTGCAAAGAATATGGGCTCAAAGCCAAAAGGACAGAACAGTGGTTATAGTCTGAATGTGTCCCACAATTCTTGTGTTGGAAACTTAATTACGATTATAAAGCAATTAAAGCATAATAATTTGAAAGGAATCATTTATTGAACATTTTTTAAAATTTGAAATTAATGTACATTTGATTTTAAAAATTTTGCATTAGATTACCATAGATTTACATACAACCATAAACTGAAAAAATACAAGAAAGTTTCTGATACTAACAAAGAAACTCTTTCCTTTATTGTAAGAAAATAAACTTTCTGAAGCTAAAGCTAGCTTTTCAGTCGTGCAAAATACTAACACTTTAAGCAGAAAGTCTTTATTTTTAAGAGAAAGTAACATTTTTCTATATTTGACCTATATTTTAATTCTTTCCAGTAGAACCAAAACCTCCTGAACCCCTTTCAGTGTCATTCAACACCTGAAAGAAAAGTAATAAGACAGTTAATTTTAGAGCCTCTTTCAGTTCTTCTACCCAGCCCCTACTATAAGACTTTTAAAGATTACAAAAAGAAAGTTAAATTTTAAAGACCCCACAAATTAGAAAATTGGATATTTGTCTAAAAAGCTAATGAAATATTAAAATTTCACAATATATTAAATAATTCATTATCCAAAGTAATGCTACATAATATCTACATGAAAATATGTCATGAGCTGGGTACAGTGGTGCATTCCTGTAATCCCAGCAACTCATGATTAGAGGCAAGCCCCAGAAGCTTAGCAAGGCACTAAATAACTTAGCAAGACTCTTAACTCAAAATACAAAATAAAAAGGGCTGGCACTGTAGTTCAGTGGTAAAGAACCCCTGGGTTCAATTCCTAGGATCAAAAATAAAATCAAGAAATTCTAAAAGTAAGATCTTAAGTCATATATACTGCTAGCTACAAACAGCATATTAAACCCTCTAAGCTGTGTCTTTTCTTCACTTGCAATGTTATGTCACTAATTATTAAGCTTTTATAACACTTACTTGAACTTCTTCTATATCTGGATAAAAAATCCGTTCACAAATGAGCTGTGCTATTCGATCACCTTTTTTTACTTCAAAGAAAAAAAAGCTTATTAGTGTTTTATTCATGTACTCTTTTATATCTTGTCTTATTCATTGAGTACTAGAGGAAGTCAGTATTATTGACAGAAACTCAGAACATTCACTAAGTTTATGGGAATACATATATGTATTTAACATACCTTCAAACTTCTCTTTACCAAAATTAAATAACACAACACCAATATTTCCTCTATAATCTTCATCTATGACACCAGCTAGAGGAAAGAAAAATAATAATTTTGATTTATTATATCAAAATACTGAGCGTAAAATTACATTAAAATCATTCTTATGAGTAGCTCTCAGACTTTTATACTTAGAACTTCAGTAAGTGAACCTTCCTTTAGCACTATGTAATGCCTCAAAAACAAAAAAAGGTATTACTAAAATGTAGATAAGAATTTAGAAAATTGGTCCTAATTTCCTATCTGTCACCCTTATTAAATGGTAACCATTTCCTACTTTAAGCTAATAATGGCAATTACCATCTCTACCCACTGCATACTTGCCAAAAAGACTAGCAGAAAATTATGATTTGGGCTTCAAAGACTTCTCCTGGGAACAGTTTTTCACTAATATTGATCGATACATGACCAAATCATAAATAAAAATATAAAAAGATCTATAGCAGAAATTAGTTAATGCTTACACTGTTAAGCAGCAGTCTTAAAAATACCAGAACACTCCATTTTTACAATAAAATGGGAGCTGAACTTTTCAGTTCACATCCTTCTTCTCCTTTTAATCTGAACCACCATTCTTTCTAAAATCACAACCTCTCAGAAGATATTAGCTCATAGTTAATAATGAGTACACTTATATGTACAATTAGTGTTTGAGATTATGAACACATGGAGAGCAAATCTTTGCAGGAAAGTTGAGCCTGGCCAACTAGCCTGGTCCAGAGAGCTACTTTCACCAGACTTGATACCATTTGTCTTTGGGTCAAGAATTTAAAATGCTTCCATAAAGACAAATACAAATAATACAGGTGCATCAGGTCTTCTCATTTCTTTTTATATTGAAATCTAATTCACATATAATTCATCCATTTAAAGTATATGATCCCAAAGTTCATAACGTATTCAATGTTGTACAACCATCACTAAAATCAATTTTATAACATTTTTATCACCCTATCAGGAAATCCTCTACCCATTAACAGTTATTTCCCATCCCTTGGAACTTCCTATGATACATATTCTTTCTGCTGTTATGAAAAGCTGGATAGAATTCTTATGAAATATAGAATATAGCTCCATTTTACATCTGACTTCTTACGAATACTCTTCCTTGTCCCTTCTCCAAAATACCCTCATGAAAGCAGAGAATAAAAATCGGAATATCTTGATGGGTACAAAGGCTAGTTAGCTATACTAATTACTTTAAGGTTAAAAAAAATTAGGCTGATTATGAGTCAGAAAATGCCTGCTAAGAAGGTACTTTAAAAATGGGCTGGAAAGCAGGAAAGGCAGTTCACTTATGTCTAGACTGAAGGAAATGGTCTACTCTTTTCTAGTGGAACAGCAACAAAATTTGACCAATTCAAAGAGTATTAAATCCTAGTTTCTTTCCCCACTGCCAAATGACCATTAATTTAGCCCTCAGTAATTATGAAAAGAACCGATATTAAGATGGGACCAGTGGTTTTCCATGTATCTACACAGAGGAAGTTTTGACTGTAGAAATGATTTAGCTTAGATTTAACACAGAAGACCCTTTTGTATACAGCATATTGTTCCAGGCCAGGGTAATAACTCATATATCTCAAATGAGTTTAGGAAAAACAATGTGGACTGACTGCCTTCAAAATTATTTTGTTTCTATTTTACTAGAAAAATTTTAAATTATTCAAACAACAGTAATACACATAAAGTAAAAAAAAAAAACACTAGCCAATATCACAGCAATACACTGCATTACTTTACTTTTTCCATTAAAAATAATAGATATCCTTTGAGATTAATATGTATAAACCTGTCACTCTCTAGCCCTTGACAAATATCCCTGCATAAATGTCAAATAGGTTCCAAAAAGCACTTTCCTGGGTAAAATGGTGTATATATTTTATACTTTGGAGGGTATTGCTAGATAACTTTACAAAAAAGGTATAGCCAAACTTCTATCAGCAATATTTGAAAATGCCCGTTTCCAAAATCCTTGCCAGTACAATGGTAGCAACTTTTAAATTCTGGCCAATAATAATCAGTATAAAAATGATATTTAATTGCTTTACTTTGAATTTCCCTGAGGACTAGTGATGATGGATTTCTTTCCTTCCATTGTTTACTGGACATTTATATGTTCTTTTCTATATTTTGGCTATTTTTTTTTCTCACATATTCAAGTTGCATATATTTGTTGGTTTAAAAAAAGCTATATTTTCTACCATATAAAAATACTCTCTTGTTATAAAAGGCTCTGCTGTACATCTGTAAAGTTGTCTTGTGAGTAGCACTCAAATAGTTACGAGTCTTCAATTCTACAGGGCCAAGTGACCTACTAAGACTTTATACTTGGCAACAGGAAAATGAGAAAAGTCTTTAAGTGACTAAAAGAAATGAAATTGAAGTCAATGAAAATATGGCAGAAAAAAAGCCTTCAATTACGTTAATTTTACTATAAATAACAATGTTATACAAAATTCAATAGGTTCTAGTTCAATTATTAATTTTCTGAAAGTCAACTGCCATTTGACTTTCAAGAAAAGCAAGATTTATTCATTCTTTGCATAATGGATATAGGCATCAGGGATATTTCTTTTCATGAGAAAGCAGAAAGTATCCTGAAGTTATCACTGGAAAAAATCATGCATTGGAACTGGCGGAATGATTAACTGACTTCAGGCACAAGTTTTATTGTGTCAAGACTTTGGCATGTCATATGCTGGAAACCTTTTTTAGTGAAAACTATCCACACCTACCAGATGTGAATTCTGAACAGAATCCTGCATACTAAACTTTTCCCTTTGACCCTTATTTATAGCCTGGGATTTCTAACAATCTCTCCCTTAAGAAATAAAAATTCTTGCCAACTCTGATAAACTTGTGCCTGACATTTTAAACATATTTCTGCATCCAAGAACACACCACAATGTAATTTTATGAACAACACCATACCATCCACCAGGCAAACTGATTTTCCAATTACACGAATTTTCTTCCAGAGGGTTGTTTTAAACAAAGCAAAAATTGGTAAAAAAGTTGAAAAAAGATTTTCCACATAAAAAAAAAAAAACACTTAACTCCCTAGCCGGCAGAAATGATAAAACAGACTTTAATACATGCCACGCACTATGTCATATGGTTTACATAATCATTAATCCTCCAATTCCTCAGAGAATTTCTATTCTCTGAGCACACCAATTTCTATTATACAAAGGAGAAAACCGAGCCTCAGAACTCATGTTTCTTTCAAAGCAGGCCTTTGAAATTTTCTTAAAAAACATACACTCTTTTTACATTCTTAAGTTAGATTACAATTATATCCCAAATAATATTTGAATCTCCAAAAGTATTTTTGAAAGTCAGGTGTAACTTAACTTCAACTCTGGAGTGGGTGGACAATCCCTGGCTAAATAAAACTCAGCTCCCCAAAGAACTACTTTTGGCTTTGTCTTGCCCCACAGCACCACCTAGTGACACCATGAGGATATATCAGGCCTTTCCAAAATGTTAAGCCAAGACCTGGCCGCCTAAGGCTTCATCATGAGCTTACACCCCCCCCCCCACAGAGGCAGGGCACAAGTCAAACTAATTCAGGACCCTGATTAGTTAGTGAAGGAGATGAGGTAGGCTAATTCAGCATTTAACTGCAAAGGAAAGAACAAGGATGTTAGAATCATATCAATAGTCTAAACATGTTTAAACATGTTATCACCTTAGGCTCATTTCTGAGCTGGTTTCCTCATCTATTTAAAAAAAAAAACAAAAAATCTTCATAGAATGCTTTGTATAAACGATCATAGGAAAATCTAGAATACCCACTTACCTGAAGGCCAACATGTTGTTAAATGAAGCACTATCTCATTAATGAAGATTAAAAAAAGAACCAGGACATGGGGATTATATCAGTGGGGTGTGTACTACAGGAAGAGATTAAATTTTCTGAGAGAGAGGAGGTTAGAAATCCTTTATCAAGGGTGGCTAGCAAAGGTCACTGGGGCTTCTTCATGACAGGGGCGACATGAGAAACTTGTTAGCTATGGGAGTAAGGTTTTGTTTTAAGGGAAATACATGCCATAGAAGACTTTCCTTGGAAGAAATTTTAGAGCAGCAGTGTTTTCTCTCTTCAAGGAAAAGATTGTTTTGATATATTTTGCCAAACATGGACAGCCTCTTAAAAGGAAAGAAAGTCCTTACTAGATAGATCTATATTTATAGAACCTTTTGTTTGAGAATTATTTAATACTTATTAAAAACTACCTAAGCAAACTATAATTGCTTAAAAATAATCACAAAATCTTTTCCTTTTGTGTAGTCATTTTTGGACTAACTTCAGATTATCACTAAACCAAGGCAAAAATCTTTTCTGTCAGATAGTGCCTGGTTAGCCTGTTAGTAAAATAACATAAATTTTACAATTATCACTTAAAAATTTTTAAATTATCAAATAGTATTTGAGACTGTATAATAATGATCTATTATTTCAGATATGGGTTTTTTTGGAGGGGGAGGGTAGCAAAGATTGAACCTAGGAGTACTTAACCTCTGAGCCTGCCTCGGCCGCCCAAGATATGGAAATTTCTAAACAGTCAAGAGAATAAAAATGCAGTTCCTTTTCTTGATAATAAAAATGCAACCTGTCATTTGAATACACATTACCTTTTAAGCAAAGACAAAGCCAATACACACATTTGCACAATTTAAAAATAAATATATTACCTCCTACATCTATGAAGTATTTTGCAGCCAGGCCAGAACGTGGAGCTGAAAACAAAAAGGAAGCTATTGATTATTTTAAGTGGGGAGGGGCAATACTGGACACAATATAATTTATGCAATTTAAGCATATCTCCTCTACTATGTCTGTATCTTCATCTTAGCCTTATTAGACAGTTCTGAATTAAAGATTGCTTAATCATAATGCATTACCAAAGTTGGAAAAACTAGTTTAGAAATTCAGCCAGGTTTTACTAAAAACAAACAACAATAAAATAACACTTAAACCAGCCCCATATGACTTCAGTCAATTGAGGATTTGTGGTATAGACCTGGGAGATGACTGCTGGAATGAAGTGAGAGCAACCACAGACTGCTCTTGCAAGAAGTTTGGCCACAAAGGGGCAAAGAGGAACTGTAGCTGGCCAGGGACACAATGCTAAGGAAGATGATTTGTTTTAAGACCGGAACAAATACAATGCTGATCAGAAAGGGGTGGGGACAGCAGCAGGGAAAGGGAGGGAGAAGAAAGGAGGGAAAGGGAGAGTTAGAGAGGTGGGGGGAGGAAGAAACCTAACAAAACAGTAGCAGCATTTAGCCTAGAACTTAGGACTCCTACTCATGACTCTGATGTCAAAACACTTAACTTTGTTAAAACACATGAACCAGAGTAAGATAAAAAGCCTTGTATCAGTTAAGTAAAATACCAATGCTAAACATTTAACTCCTGTGTTTTTTATTCTAAAGAAAAGTTTTTACTTTATAACTTGCTGGCTTAAGCATGAGACCCACAATTATTCTAAATTCTATTATTTTATTTCAGAATAATTTAAATCGGATACTTTGTCAATAAATGCTACTTCTTCTGCCTTAACTTTTTATTTCACTATTTCCTGGCCATCCCCCCTAAAAACTCTAAAAGTAGAGACAGTGATGCTAAAAGGGACCACCAGGAGAAAATTCATCATGTTCTCTTAAGGGATGAAGTACTAGTAGTTCTCCCATTCGTAGCTAACAAGATTGAGTTAAGTCTAACTCTCTCCCCAGAGGAGGGGCTAACAGTTGCATATGCCCCTTGTGTACTTATTTAAAAGTACTTATGTTTTTGACAAATTCAGGACTAACTCTGGTGACAAATGACTCACTCCAGAAAAAAAAAAAATATATCAAACCTGTTGATTTGCAGTCTGTTTTGTACTAGCTTCCTAGAATACGGCTTTTTCTCAAGAAAACTAGTGTTCCTTACTGGAACCCCATAGGATGATACTGAAACAAGATATGGGCTGACATACTCTGGAGTAAGTTTTACTCTCTTAATATAATATAATGTGCCATCACTGTAAGTCCCTATTTCCTAATACAAGAAGTATTAGCAACTCTCATCCCAATCTTCACAAAGAAACTTGACCTAATATGCAACGTAATCTTTGAAGGGAGAAATTCAGCACTCTGGAAAAAGATCCAAATAATCATCATCTACATTTTTAGTTTTTCTGTGAGGAGTTATGAAAACAACCTCTTAGGCCAATGTGAGTCTCCCAAAAACACAAATAAGGAATCAGAAATAAGAGAGCCAAAGAGAAAGACCAAAACATGTATGTAAATAAAATTTTTCAAATGACTGTTTGCCATCATAGATGGCACTTCATTATTTTAGGACCAAGACCAAGCAATATTAATCCAACAACACTAAGATTAAATACCTTATCACAAAGAAAGGGCTTGACAAATAGTTACCTGTTTCTTGAATCACTTACCTATTCTTCCATAGCACCCAGAAGGAAGAGCTATCTGAATGTCTGTTTTCACAAGGGCTTTCTCCATAGGTGGTACTATATAATCATAGGCACTACAAAATAATTAAAACAACAACAGTATTTACTTATAAAATTGTTTTACATTCTTTCCTTGTGATGATGCATATAGAATTGCTTTCAATACATTTCATAAAAAATAGTACAATCTTAGGCTAATGTTGCCAACTAATGTTGCCATGACAAACTTCCAATTCATCTTTAAAAAGTTCAAAAAAGTAGATGTTTTATTTATTAATTAAAAGGCAAGTGTAGATGAAAGAATATGAATTTTATGGTGGTAGGATGATATGTTGACAACGTAAATGTCTTCATCTCTGAACACAATCAATGGGAAACTGACAAAAAAGTCAAACTTTAAATGGTACAAATCTTGCTAATACCGTGCAAAACAGGAAAATGAAGAACCAAATAATGGGGCAAATATGTTTATATGTATTAACTCATTTTATTCTCATTACAATTCTGTGATTACAAAAAAACTGCAGAAGAAAATTGTAGGCAAAATAAAGGGTGGGGGAAGGTAGAGCTGTTTTGTATCAGTTCTGCCTGGCTGTGTAGTTCACCAAACCTATGACCATGAACTTCACCAAGTAAGGGAACACTCTAAATAGCCTCTGGAAATCAAGTGCTGAGGTACTGATTCTCTAAGGTCCATCCAGCAAATTGCTAATACTTCTTGTATTATACAAGAAGTATTAGCAATTCTCATTTGTCTGTATCCCCCTCATTAAAAAAATTTAAGAGATTTGACAATGGGCAAAACTGAAGTTCCTCTGCAGAACTTACGTCCCATAAAGCAGTACTACATTTTCACTGTAATTTCCTTTCTTTAAACCGTTAAGCACTAATTTATTAAAGACATCAGATATTTCCACATCAAGCTCAGTATACAGAAAATCACCTATATTTGTTAGGAGGATGACTAAAGAACTGAAGTATCTTGAATCAAGATCTCCCTTAGGACTCACAAGGCCCAGCCATATACTTTAAAAGGGTCTAAGTGAACTACATCACTCTTTCCCATTAAAATCAAAAGGCACACTATATTCCTTTTAGCCACAATAATGTACATTTTTTTTTTTAGCTACAATTAATCTCCCCCATTAATATCGTCACAGTCCTTTCTTCCCTTCTCTCGAACTTGGACCAGTAGTTCTCACATTCTAATTACCTGGAGTGCCTTAAAAATAAATCATAACGCTTGGAATATGGTCATAAAATGAACACCCCTCCCTCCCAGAATCGTTTTTCCCCTTTATTAATGGTTCTAAATACTGAACATACTAGCCAAATTTAAAAAAAAAAAAAAACAGCAACACTTAATTCCGTGTAAAAAACCGTCAGCAACATTCAAGCTCTTCGGCAAATCACTCTTAATGATCTCATTTGTAAATTAGTAACACTTGTCTAATTCAAGACTGTTTTAAGGATTAAATAAAATAGCACGTGGGACAAAATTCCTGGACAGGTATGAAAAAAAAAAAAGTGCGCTACAAATGAACGGTTGTAGTATTACTTGCACTCCCGCCATTTTTTGTTTTTCATATTCGTACCCTTTCACAAAGTCCCAGTCCTTAGGCCTAATAGATGTAGAAAGAAAGAACCCCAGAAGTGGCCTTCATTAATCACTTTTAGATATTTCAGAATCTCAGGGCCCACCATGGCTTTTCTTGAGCTCGCCATCACCCTAGAAGGCCAAGATGAACCCTGTTGCACGGCACCTTCCACTTGTTAAAGAGTAGAGTGAATGTTGTAAAATAATGCCTTGGGCATTTTACAGATATTTATTTACTATTCTGCACACTGCCCAAATCCTTGTTGAATTTATGTCCTTTTTAAAAAGCCAAAATTTTCAAACTAATAATGGCAGGAAGCCGACATTTAAAAAAAAAAAAAGTTTGTATCCATAACCTTTCTAGCGTATGGTTCAAGCTGGGGCAAAGGGGCTGAACACGAGCTAAATCATCCGAGAACCGGGTCTCCTCTGCGAGGGTGGCGCTGCCGGGGGCCGAGACCAGTCGGCCACGTGAGGCCCGAGGTCCCCACTCACCTGTACAGGTCATAGCCTGCGGCCCGCGCGGACCCCCGGGTCGGGGCCGTGGCGTGCTCCGATAGTCGAACAAAGCGGAGCCGCAAGCCGCCATCCTCCGCAGGCCGGGCCCGCTTGCTGGGGGAAATGGCGGTTACTTCTTCAGAAGAGGGCATGGCAGCACCGGAGGGCAAAAGAAGAAGAGGAGACCGGGAAAGAGAGCAGGCGATGAACGCAGCTGCTAACAACCCGCCAAACTCCGAAATTTCCCGCCAGCCCCTCTCGGACCCTCCCCCAGCACCTCGGCCCGGACGAGACCACAGTTCTGGCAGGGGGGGTATCGGGTGTCATATTTTAGGCTGGAAGCCCTTCTCTGAAAGTTGCCTTCAGATCGGACACGACTGAGCCCTCTTAAACATAGCAAATTCAGAACTCCGGCTCAAAGTAGGGCACAAGCTTCGGTGGTCTCGCTCACAAATGACAAGAAGCCAACCTTCCTCCCCAGGGACCCGAATGGACTCGCTCCCTAGGCGCGAGACTTGGGCGCCCTCCCACTTTCCCGCCGCCTGAGGCTGCAGGGCTTCCTCCGAACCCGGGCGTTAGGCGCGCTGGTTGCACCTTCTGGGCCCAGTATCCCCACGCCTTTGCGGGCGTGCCCGTCCCGCACGCGTCCCAGGCCTCACTGGCTTCGGGGAAGGGTGTGCCGGCGCTGGACAGCGGCCGGGGCGGCGCGAGCTGGGTGGGGCCGAAGGGCGGGCCTGGTCGGGAGAGTCTGGACGCCCACGCTCCCAGTTGCTTCCTTCGCGCGTCTTTAAACGCTAAGCGGAGCAATGATGGAGAGAAATGGCAGCCGAGCGCGGGGCGCGGGAGGAGGGCCGTCATCCCCCGAGGTCTGCGTCTCCGGACGCGCTCCCGTCCAGCACCCTAAGGCCCGGATGACCTCGGAAGCAGTCTCGGCGCCCTCTGATGGCTCTCGCTGGGAGGCGGCGCGAAGGCCCCTGGCTGGCGCAGCTCGGCTCCAGGAGCGCCGGTTGCCAGCGTGGCGAACCTCGCGGCGGCCTTCCCTGCTGCTGCCTCCCTCCCTCGCCCGTTAGTTTTCCGCCATCCTTTTTTTTTTTTTTTTTTTTTTTTAGTACATCTGCCAGACCCGGACCCTATCCCTGGGCTGACGTACCTGGGGCAGCTTCGCCCGCGGCCATTATTCCCCCGCTTCAGACTTCAGGGCCCCCTGGGGGACAGAATCACCTCACCGCCGCGCTGCAGGATGTGACCTGCACTGCGTGCAGAATTCCTTACAGAATGCCAGACTGTATATTGTTTACTCTTAAAGGAGCGACCCGGGAGGGTCTTCAAGGATAACCGCAAGGACAACTCAGCCCTTCCCTTTCTGTGGTTACAATGACCTTGGACACACCGAGGTCGGGGCAGGGTCTGTAATCCCAGTATTTGGGGAGGCCGAGCCAGGAGGATCGCAAGTTCAAGGCCAGCCTCAGCAATTTAGCAAAACCTTGTCTCAAAAAAAAAAAAAAAAATGAAAAGGGCTGGAATCAATGGTACAGCAAGCACTCAATCCCCAGAACCAAAAAGAAAAACACCGACGTGAACCCAGTGGCTTGAGGGCTAAGATCCTGGGCTAAGGTGGTGGAATTTACAGTGAGGACAGATGAGTAACTTTCTAGATAAGAATCTCCAGTTATCTCTGGAGCTGATGCAAAAACCTGGAGACTAAATTGATACGCACTTTAATTCCAAAAATAAATATAACTACAGGGCAGTTTTAGAGAAATGACAACTGAAAATGGTGAAGTACTGTTGAAGTTTTCTTGCTTGTTGTGCCTTTTCTTACAGGCCCCACCTTAACTGGCTGCTCTTAAATCTTGGAATTCCTCTGAAAGAGGCTATGCAATATTCTGTCTTCCTCTAAGTAGTCTGTACCTTGAGAACTTCCCAACTTATACCAGTCAGCTACCTGATGTTCTGCATCATATCTTTCAAATGTAAAGTTATCTCAGAGGCCATCCTGAGAAACTAAAGTAGCTGCCCTTACTTTCCCTCACCACCACTTTTATCAGTTTTCTTATTCTTTTTTTTTTCCTATTTGCACTTCTTATTGCTATAATTTGTACTATTTTTTAAAAATCTTTTTTCTTGGTCACCGTCTATTTGCTATAGTAGATGTGAACTTCATGAAAGCAGAGACCTTATGTCTTCATTCACCGCTATATTTCTGGTGTCTATCTTAGTGCCTGGCCCAGAATTATGAGTGATGAATTTGTTCTATGAATGAATTACAGTGATATTGTCCAGTCCATCAGACTCCTGTATATTATTACTTTGTCTTGATTTTTCTATTCATTCTATTATTTTTTAAGCAAAGACTTTCTTTATATAATACTTTTTCAAAACCTACAATAAAAATCAGCTATCCTTGCCCTAGCACTGAACAACTGTTACCCCATGTCTCACTGCTTAAGAGCAATTCTCCCAACATTTTTGGTTCTTGCTACTGAAATTTACCTCCCTGTTTCTAGATTATGTGTTGCTATATTTTAAAATAGCATAGAAATGATCTTCTGAGGTAGTTGAGGATTTAGATCTCTAACATCCCTCCCCACACATGCCCATTCTATCAATAGTTCTATAGTGATATTTGGATAAGTCTGCAGTTGGTATGTACTTTACCATAACCACGGAAATATCAGTCACTACCAAGACAAGGTGATATGACTATCTTTTTACATTTACCCCTTTAAGTTAATAATTGCCTCTTTTATCCATTTGTTTTTGTTTGCCAGGCGTATATAATTTATCTATTCCTGTTTTTTTTTTTTCATGCTACAGTGGACCCAATACCTCAAACTTGTTTCACATCAAATCCCCAACACATCAAACAGCAGTGATTTCTACCCTATCATATATGTTATTTAACATTATCCCATTCGTTAGTCACTTAGGCATATGTTCTTGTATAAAATTCTCATGTATATGTGTTTTATCTTTCAGATTGAGAGTCATATCCTTCTATGAATTCTTCAAAGTTCCATTTTTCCCTTAAAGCCTCCTTTTATGCCTCTGTTCTCTTGTCCAATCTGTGCTAGTGACTCTCTAGTCTTGTTGAAGCTGTCACACTGGGACTTCCCTTCCCCCATCTCTTGTATCAGAACCTTGGTTTATGAATATGGTGTCTTCCTCTTAGTTTATTCACTCTTTTGCAGAAGTACTTTGTCTAATAGTTTTCTAATAAAGTTCACTTGAGTCCTCACTTATCCTAAAATGTAATGATTGTAATAACTTCCTTTTCATGGTACCAGTTCAAAATCTTACTTTAATCTTATTTTATTCATGACACTTACTTACAACCAGGACTGACTTTCATCCTATCTTACCTGTGATAACACTATCTCATTCATTAATCACCTAGCCACATATTCCCGTTGCGAAACCTTCTCACGTACATGCATTTTTATCTTTCAGATTAAAGAGAGTCATATACTTTTATGAATTCTTCAAAGCACCTACTTCAGTGTTTTACACACACACAAATTGACTCAAATATCTAGCACCAAGATGATGTTCTGCAATTTCATCTCTTAGTTGAGATATTGTGTTTATTTATTATTATCACTTTTCATCATAGGTTATTTTAGATTGTAAAAAGGAAATAATCTAACTGGAAAAGTTAACAAGTTTGAGCCAGTAAGCATTTAATAGGACATCATAATGGAAATAATAGCTTGACATGAACATATACCTTAAATGCAAGATACTGTAACAAAGAACTACACATGTTCCATAGTTTATTTTATGCTCTCTATCAGAATATAGTTATTATGCTGGGTGCAATGGCCCATGCCAGTAATCCCAGCAGCTTGTGAGGCCAAGATAAGAGACTGGCGAATTGGAGGCCAGTCTCAGCAACTTGGTAAGGCACTAAGCAACTTGGTGAGGCCCTGTCTCAAAATAAAAAATAAAAAGGGCTATGGCTCATGGGTTAAGCACCTTGGGTTCTATCCCCAATACAAAAATTTTTTAAAATGCAATTCAGTACTTTATAAATAATTCTATTTTCTACTGTGTTAGGTTTTTGTTCCTATGACAAAATACCTGATAAAAACAACTTGGTTCATGGTTTCAGAGATTTTAGTTCATGATGGGCTGGCTGCATTATTTCTGGGCCTGTGGTGAGGCAGAACATAACAGAAGGGTGTGGCAGAGCAAAGGAGCTCATCACATGGCTTCTAGGAAGCAAAGAGAATGGAATGGGCTGGGTACAAGATATGGTGCCTCCCACAACCCCCCCACAAAGGCACAAACTCCCTAGGACCCACTTTTTCTCTAACTAGGTTCTACCTTCTACAATTTGCACAACCTCCCAGTAGTCCATTCAGCTCTGAATCCTTCACTGGATTAATCCATTGATGAGGTTAGATCCTTCATGATTTCCTAAAAACTGTGTCTCTGAACATTGCTGCATTTAAGACCAAACTTCAACATATAAACCTTTGAGGGACATTCCAGGTACAAACCATAATACTTACCTTTGCCATTATAGGGATTTCTCTCTCTCCTTCTAAAAAGGATGTACATAGTGGCCAGGCACAGAAGCACATGCCTATGATCCCAGCAGCTTGGGACTGCTGAAGCAGGAGGATCCCAAGTTCAAAGTCAGGAGTCTTTTTTTTGGGGGGGGAGTGGTGGTGGTGGTGGGGACTGAACCCAGGGCCTTGTGAATGATAGGCAGGCACTCTACCAACTGATCTATATCTTCAGCACAAAGTTAGGGTCTTGGTAAGTTGCTTAGGGTCTCACTAAGTCTTTAAATAAATAAATAAATAAATAATGATTTCTTTATGCCACGTATATTCTAAATGCTTCTATAATATTAACATCAAAGTACAGCAATAAGGAAAAGCAAAGCAAAGAGAAGTTAAGATCACATATAGCTCGCAAGTAGAAACAGGTGAGGCATTCGATTCAACTTCAGATAGTCTGTCATCAGAGTCCTTGCACTTAGCCACTATGCTCTATTGGTTTTTATGTGCCCTGTTGTGATCAGTAACTTAATACTGAGCCTGTGTTGTCTAGGTCTGGGAGAGATGTTTGTAGTAAATTAACTGGGTGTTCTTAATTTCAGTTTATCATGTCCTCCTTGAAGCACTTCACTGGTCCACATTCTTTGGTTTTCTTTTCCCCTCATTGGCTGCCCTTTCTCAGTATCTTTTCTGACCTCTCTTCTCTTCTCAACCTCTTATTGTTCAAAATAAAAATCCTTGGAGTCTTGCTTACCTCCTCTTTCTCTCAGATCTATTCTTATCTAAAACTAGCCTCCCCTTAGACACCAGCTAACACTTTGCCCTATTTGATTTTTCTTCATTGCATGTATTGCTACATTAAATTACATATGTATTCATTTCACTTGTTAGTTGTGTGTTTCCCCAAGTAGCATGAAAATTTCATGACGGATTCAAATCTATCTTAATTTGGGTTCTTTTCAGATGTTCTATTTTTTACCTTTTCTTGCGTTCTTTTAAACTTAATAAATATTTCACTTTTTCTTTATATTCATTTATATGTCTTACTCTCTAGTTCTGTTATTTGAAATAAATTAAAACATGTATGCTTGATTTATCAGTGCCTAAAATCTAAAATTAACATTTCTCCTAGATAACACTGATCTTAGAATGCATTAACCCAACTAATCTTTCTTTCTTATATGCTGTTACTCTCTAGGATTTTAAGTGCATCTTTTAATCTCAATAAGCATTACTATTATTGCTACTTTTATAGACATTTGATTTCTTTATGCCAGGTATATTCTAAATGCTTCTATAATATTAACATCAAAGTACAGCAATAAGGAAAGGCCTTTGAAACAATGTTTACCTGTTGCGATACAGGACTAAACCAGTCACCAGTCAGGGTCGCTCCAAGTGAATTTGGGG